CGCTTATTTATAGATCGTCCACGGCCATTTCCGGGCGTCAGGAGCAGTGCTGAGTGGTTGCAACAGAAACCGTATTTATGGCCCACAAAGCCTGAAATCGTTCCTGTGTGGCCCTTTATGGAAAAAGTTTGGCAACTCCTGGTCTACAGCAGTAATTCTCACACTTTAGCTCCCTCAAAACCACCTGCAGGGCTGCAGAAACATGGACTGCAGCCCCCCGCCCACACCCCCCAACTCCAGAGTCTGAGTCACCCAGCCAGGGGCTCGGGAATCTGCCTTTCTAATCATCTCCCAGCTGATGCTGGAGCCACGATTTGAGGACATTCGGGCTTCAAAGCTGACCTTTGGCCCCACCTGAGCTGCTCAGAGCCCAGGCTGGGAGTGGGGCGGTCTTGGGGAGGAGAGAGAGCGGGAGGTTGAGCTCCGAGGCCCATCTGAGCCCCTCTTCCAGGCTGTCCTTCTCGTGGTGTCTGCTCCCCCCTGGTGGCAGCAAACCTGGAGCTGGCCTGGCACACTAAGCCTTCACCACTGGTTCCTGCATTTGGAACCGCATTTCAAAGCTTTCAAAGTTTGCATGCACTTGCCCTTAGGGAGTCCACTTGCTGGAATTTAATGGGAGAGAAGAATCAAAGATGCCAGCCGGCTGCTCATGGCTATGCTGTTTGTAAGAGGGTAAAATAGGAAACCAAGGCCACACAGCTGCTAAGAAGCCCAGGTGGGACTTGAACTTGGGTCTGTCCCATTCGAGAGCGAGTGCTCTTAAGGGAAACATGGCACAACCCCTCGGGAGGCTTCGCACCTGCTGTAGCAGAGAGCGTGGCCTCTGGAGCTGAACTGCCTTGCGTTGAATCCCGGTTCTATTACTAACTGTGCAGTATGGGCAAGTCTCTTAACTGCTCTGTGCCTCAGTGTTCCCATCTGTGAAAAGGGAACATAATTGTAACGGTTACAAGACTCAACGTGAGTGCTCAGAGCTGTCCACTGTGGGAGCAGTGTCATTCAGCCCCCACCTGCCTTCTTCTTTGCCCTTTATCCTCCTTTCCTCTTCTTAGCAGGTCCCCGGGGTCTGGGGAGTAGGGGATAGAGCTGAATACGCGGACTGCTGGGTTAGATAGGCCTGGATCTAAATCCTAGATCTTCCGTGTGACATGGGCAGATAACCTCCCCTCCTGGCACCTCAACATTCTTATCTATAGAATAGGATCAGGAAGATTAGAGCAGCGGTTTTTTTTTTTTTTAAGATTTTTATTTTATTTATTTGACAGACAGAGATCACAAATAGGCAGAAAGGCAGGCAGAGAGAGAGGAAGGGAAGCAGGCTCCCTGATGAGCAGAGAGCCCGATGTGGGGCTCGATCCCAGCACCCTGGGATCATGAACTGAGCCGAAGGCAGAGGCTTAACCCACTGAGCCACCCAGGCGCCCCTAGAGCCTCGGTTCTTGAAGTGTGGTCCCGAGAGGCTGCTGCAGCATCAGGACAAGGGAGCTCAGAAGCAATTCTGATACCAGCCCTCCCGGGGACTGTGACACTCCCGCAGTTTGAGAACCACCGGTTAGAACATCTGCCCGTTAGGCTTATTGCAATAGCACAGGAGAAAATGCTTTCCAGCAGCTGCTGTCATTGCTCCAGGCTTGTGTCTTCTGGGCCTCTGCTGATGGGGCGGGCATATCCCTGCTCCAAAGAGGGCCAGTTGGATCCCCTCTGCTAGGATCTGGGAATTGGAGACATTAGTCTCTGTGTCACGCCTGTGAGGGGAAGGGCCCAAGTTGTTGGGCAAGGCCGTTGTTTGGAGACATGCATTTTCCTCCAATTGCCTTAACACCTGGGAGGGCCAACCTGCAGAGAGAAGCTCAGAGCTGAGACGTTTCAAAGGGAGACCAGATGGCCTTTGGGCTGGGGTCACCCATGTCTGGATCCTATGTCCACAGAGACCAGGCTGTCCTACCTGCTCCTGGGTTCAGTAGGACACCTCTGGCCTCTCCTGAGAAGTTCCTCCTTTGCTCCTAAGTCGGAATGAGGGGGTTTCTGTCATTTGCATCTTAAAGGGCTCTGGCATGTAGAGGGCTGGGAGTCAGGGTCAAGGGGTCAAGGGGTGTGTGCAAAGGTCAGGGGTCATAGGCCTGAGGGGAACTTCTTCCCTCCCTTCCCCTGCCCAACTGCTGGCTGGTTCAACCCCAGTCCTGTTCCCTCATAGGGGGCAAAGAGAAAAGGAGGCATTGAGGCAGTGATGGGCTAGGCCGGTCCTGAGAGCTGTCAGGGGTCGCCTCGGGGTCCCTCCGTTATCTTGGTCCTAGTTCCTGTGCTGAAACCCCAAGCATCTCCCCAGGGAGCTGTCGAGGTGAATCGCTGGGAAATAGTAATAATAAAGGTGAAGGATTTCCTTGTAGTTACGTTTGTGTACACTCACGTGTATTTAATGGGGTGGTTGTGGCCGGACACTCAGTGAGCCCTGGATTTCTGGCTGATCTGGGAGCTGACTGGGGAGGGCATGAAAGGGGCCCTGTGAAGAGAGTCCTGCCTGGGGTGGGGGTGCTGGTTCCAGTGGAGGAAAGGCTTCAGCGTCAGGCATGAGAGGAGCATGGGTCCTTCGAGAGAACCAGCAGGCTGGAGGCACCACTGGAGACAAGCGCTGGTTTCTGGGCCACAGCCGGCTGTGCCCGGGTCCTTGCAGTGAGAGGGGGTGCCCTGCGTATGCTTGACACCTGCACCCAGGTCCGCCCCTGGGCGGGGAGTACAGCCCAGTATGGAGTGATCCAACTGCAAAGTCTCAAGAACCACCCCCCCAACCCCACGCAAGGTCCGATGGGTTTGGGAGGAAGGTGGGGGGCTACGGAGAAGGCTTCACAGGCTCCAGCCCTCACTGTGTCCCTGCCGCTGTGTGACCTTGGGCAAATCACCTGCTCTCTCTGAGCCTCAGATTCTCATCTGTGAAAGGGGGAGAGCACTTTGCATCTCTTAGGCTTTGAGGAGGAACTTGAATGAACAAGGTACACGGAGCGATAGGGGCTCAGTAACTCCATTGTGGTGTGATAACTATCACTCCTTGAGTCAAAGACCAGGCAGATGCTTTGTACTGAAAGGATTGAACAGCAAAAAAGAAGGCCCAGCCCCTATGAGAAAAGGCTGCTGGTCCCTGTTGGAGAGTCTGAGGTTGGGGCAGGTTGTCAAGGCCAGGCCTGAGGCCCAGGAGACCAGAAGCTATGCCCCGTGAACGGAGTCCTGAGAAACAGGCCAGTCTCCAAAGAGTCTGGTTGCTCTGACCCTCTGTAGTAGGCGGGAGTGGAGAGCCTTAAATCCCTCCTACCCCAGGTCAGGATTGGTCCTTGGTCTTGGTGGCCTAGTGCTAGAAGGAGGGGCTACAGCGAGCAGGTAGAGGGGTGCGACAGTGGACGGTCCTATGCCTGTGTCCTTGGTCTTTATGGAGTGGCTGTGGTGCCCACTGGGCTCTGTGGGGTTCGGTAAGTCCTGCTTTGCCAAGCTGGGCGGATGGGCTGGGCACGAGTGAAAAGCCCGAGGAGGCAGGCTGTGTGTGCTCAGCCCTGCACATGTGAGAAGTGGGGCCGGGGGAGGTCAGAGGAGCCAGAAGAGCGAGCTCAGGGATGGCCCAGCTACAGGGAGATGATGTGACTTGAGTAGGGCTGTGTAGGAGCCGAGGGGAGCTGTGAGCATAAGGGCATCGAGGTGGGACAGCACAGAGCTTGCCTGAAGATAGAGGACCCAGCGGTGGAGTCCTTGTCAGGGAAAGGCAGGGGTGAGACTGGAAGGCCAGTCCACGGAGAGCCTGGAAGTCTAGGCTCATGGGCTGGGAGTCTATCCAGTTGGCCGTGGGGAACCACAACAGGTTAGTGAGCAGGGTAGTGATGTTTGTTCTAACTGGATGGCCAAGTTTGTGCCAGGCTGGGAAGGGTTTCAGTGGGGAGTGTGTGGGGAGAATCAAGAGGGGAAGGGTCTTGATTTCACAGTCAGTTTAGATGTTACAGGAGGACCCTTTGATCCTTTGGGCAGGGGGATGTGATGTTATAAGCAGAAAACCTCTGTAAGTGGGGCGCCTGGATGGTCCAGTCGATGAGGACTCTGACTCTTAATTTTGGCTTAGGTCACGATCTCAGGGTTGTGGGATGGAACCCTGCATCAGGCTCCGCGCTCAGTGTGGGGTCTGCTGGAGAGTCTCTCTCCCTCTGTCTCTGCCCCTCCCCATACTTGCATGCTCTCTTTCTCTCACTCTCAAATAAAGATTCAAAAGAAATCTTAAAAAAGAAAGGAAAGGAAAGGAAAGGAAAGGAAAGGAAAGGAAAGGAAAGGAAAGGAAAGGAAAGGAAAGACAAAACCTTTGTAGTGTGGGGCGCCTGGATGGCTCAGTGGATTAAGCCTCTGCCTTCGGCTCAGGTCATGATCTCAGGGTCTTGGGATCGAGTCCCGCATCGGGCTCTCTGCTCAGCAGGGAGCCTGCTCCACTCCCCCGCCTGCCTCTCTGCCTACTTGTGATCTTTGTCTGTCAAATAAATAAATAAATAAAATCTTAAAACAAACAAACAAACAAAAACCTTTGTAGTGTCCAGCCTCAGTACATTGCCTTGAAAGGGGTCTCAAGTCATCAGTGGGCCTACCCAGTTCTGCCTGTGGGATCAAGGACAATCCCTTCGTCCCTCTGATCCTCAGTCTCCCCCTCTATAAACTGGGCATGATGTATCCTATCTCCTCCCATGAGTGTGAGGCTTAATGAGACAAAGAAAGGGTCTAATCCAGCGCTTGGAACACGGTAGGTGCTCAGTAGACGGTGTTCCCTCCCCATCAGTAGACGGTGTTCCCTCCCCATGTCCCACTGTGTGGCTGTCACAGAGCTGGGCAGTCTGGCTCTCCATTCACCTCCGATCAGATGGAGTTTTTGCTTTCAGAGGTCATCCACTCATTCCTTCATTCATTCAACCAGCATCCAAGCAGCACTTCAGAGCGCCTACTGTGTGCTAGGTATTGGGAGACAGAGTTGAATTAGACAGCTGTCCTCTGGCCTTGAAAAGTTTATTTGCTCATTCCTTCAGCAACATCCACGGAGCCCTACTGTGCGTTTTGGTCTGGTGGGGGTGGGGGTGGGGGTCCACGTACGCCTCGCTGGCAGGGGGAGGGGAGGGGGAGGAAGCCAGCCAGCCCCACAGCTCACAGCTCTGCGTCTGGGAAGAGCAAGAACCCAGAGAAGATGCTATTGGCACCTTCCAAGCCCAGCAGGGCGTTCTTGTCTGTGGCCTGCAGAAACACGTTCTCCCCCTCCCTCAGCTTGAGGACCACACCGCCCGTGGTGACCTGGAAGGTGTTCTGGGTGTAGTCGCAGAAGGTGACCACCTTCTCCATGCGCTCCCGGCCCCGCATGAGGTTCAAGCACAGGTTCCCTCGCGAGCTGGCGTGGTAGGCGAAGTAGTAGATGCCGGGCACGTTGCAGGTGAACTTGCCACTGCGGGGTTCGTAGTTGCGGTTCTCGTTGGTGATCACGTGGTCGAAGCGGATGGGCTGCTCCCGCCGCAGGATGCTGTTGATGGTCCTCGTGGCAGAGAAGGCGATTTTCTGTACGGCCTTATAGTCCCCTGACTCGCCCTTGGGGCCACGGGCTCCGGGGGGGCCTGGGGAACCTTTGGGGCCAATGGGGCCCTTGGGGCCTACTTTGCCTGGTTTCCCAGGAATCCCTGGGTCTCCCTTCTCCCCGAACTCGCCGTGGTCTCCAGCCAGCCCTGGCAGCCCTGGAAAAGCAGAGACAAGAGACATGATGGGCCAGGGATCGCTGAGAACCCAAAGAAGGAGCCCCCGGACTAGGAGTCCGGGATCCTGGCTGTGTAACTTCTGCCATGTCCCTGCTCCTCTCTGGGCCCCAGCTTGCTGTGTGTGGAAGAGAGGAGGGTGAGGGTGGTCTCCTCCCAGCCCCACTTTCCCCACAGCAATGGGACCTGACACCCGAGGAGCAGACAGTGGTGTCTCCTTAGGGAGGGTGCTGGGCCCGCCCTCCTCACCAGCTCATACAGGCTCCCCTTTTCCAGCCTGGAGCCGGAGAATGAATTCTCGGCTCCCTCCTCACTCCCTCCTCACTCCCTCCCCAGGGTAGACATCTTTAATCAATCCCGACATTCCTTTCCCTGGAGCCTAGAACTGGGTCTTGGAAACCTTCTCATGGGCCCTCCATGCGGCCGCTACCCCTCTGTTTGGCACAGTGCGAGACAAAACCTCCTTTCCAGGGAAGGGGCAGAGTATCGTGGCTGAGAGCATGGGCCCAGGGGACAGACAGATGTCCCGCCACACCTGCCATTATTAGTCATGTCCCCTTGATGGAGTCACACTCTCTGGGACTCAGCTTCCTCCTCTGTAAAATGGGCTCATGAGGATACTTTGCAGGATTACGAGGGTCACTTGTGATTATGTGAGGACAAAAGTTGGTCTTGGTTAAATGAATGAACGAATAAACGACATTTTACAGGGGGTTGTCTTGGTGGGAAGTCTCATTTGAACCCTGTGACAACCCTGCAAAGAATCTGCCTACATTTTATAGGTAAAGAAACTGCATTTCAGGGAGGGGAAGCCACCCACCCGGGAGGCAGCCCGGGGCTGCGCGTCTGCCGCGGTGCTCTCTGTCTGCCTGGACTTAAGGTTGAGAGAGCCACGGGCTGGTCTCAGCCTCGATATGGACGTAGCTCCCTCAGGCAATTCAGTAGTCCTTCTGGACATCAGTTTTCTGGGCTGTAAAATGGGAATCGGAATTCCCTTTACTCAAAGTCAATGCAGGGTGGAGGAGAAGGGGGGGCTTGGCAAGCTGATGGATTTGCAAGTGCTTTCGCGATCTCTCAGGTCAGCCGCTATGACTGGGGAGGCAGGAGATGGGGCCTTGCTCAATGACACGAACGTATCCCCCAAAGAGGGCAGTACCTTTCTCTCCCTTTATCCCTGGGGTCCCAGGTTTGCCATTAGAGCCTGGTGCACCGGGGATGCCCGGGATGCCAGGGATGGCCGGGTGTCCAGTACAGCGGCTCTGGGCCCGGGAGGCACCCGACAGACTCAGGAGCAGCAGCAGCACCAGAATGTAGCCCCTCAGGGCCATCATCACCGCCCCGTCTCAGCTACCACCTGCGGGGGGACAAGAAGATGGAGTGGGTTATTGCCACGGAGACTCGTAGCACGTGTGCCATCATTCATTCACTCCTTCACATACTCACTGAGTGTGTCCTTTCCACCAAGACAGACCCTGTGCTGGGTGCTGCGGTGACACAGCGATGGCTCCTGCTTTCATGGAGCTGGCAGGCTTAGGAGAAGGCGGATGATAACCACATAAACAGAGAAGTCAATGGAAGCAGGGAGAGTCTGCAGAGTGCTCTGCAGGAAATGCAGGGGTGCTTGGAGGGAGAGGGAGAGCCACTGGGGTGGAGGGGCAGGTGGATGGTTTTCTGGGTTGTAGTGGGCAGGCGGCATCTCTGAGAGGGGTGTTCGGGCTGAGAGCTGGAGGTTCAGCAAGGACTGCGGCAAGAATGTTCCAAAAGGAAAGGAAGCAGGGGCAAAGACCCGGAGGTAGGACAGCTCCTGGAGCATCGAGGACCCTGCAGGGAGGCCAGTGTGGCTGGAGGGGAGTGAGGGGTCGGAGGGATGGGACGTCAAGGCTGTGGTTCTCTGGCTTTGGATTTTCTTGCAAGCGTTCTCATTCAATAGAGCTTCTGAGTTCAGGGAGCCAGTTCTGTTTCCAGAGCAGGCCACTTTACACCCTCAGAGCACAGCCTGGAGGAAGCTGTTATTTTTATACCAAAGAGGACCTGGTGGCTCAGGGAGGCTGTAACACTTGCTCAGGGTCATACAGGAAGGACTGTAGCCAGTACTCAAAGCCAGGCCTGTCTGCCTCTCAAGCCAGTATGCCTTCTGGCACAGCAGGCCATCTCTGCTGATGAAATATCCTCAGGTCCCTCCAAAGGCTGGAGGAGGAGGGAAACACTGGCCCCTTCTGAATCCCAGAGAACTAGGAAGAACTGTGCCGTCTTGATCTGGTCAGCACAGCCAACCCCCCATAGCATCAATTCTCAAGACAGAAGGGAACTTAAAACTCATCGGATCCACTGTTGCTTTACAAAATTGAGGGGACAGGGGCACCTGGATGGCACTGACTCTTGGTTTCGGCTCAGACTATGACCTTGGAGTTGTGAGATCGAGCCCCACGTCGGGCTTTGGGCTCAGTGCGGAGTCTGTTTGGGATTTTCTCTCCCTCTCCCTCTGCCCCTCCTGCTCATGCTTACTCTCTCTCTCTAAAATAAATAAATCTTTAAAAAAATTGAGCGTCATTCACATAATAAAAATTAAACCTAAATTGTTTATCTTTGCATGAGACCGGTTCCCATTCTTCCTGGAGATTTTACAGAGTGACGGGTTGGACCACTTCAGTAACCCACACATTGGGCACTTAGCCAGGCTCCGGGCCAAACACGGTATGTGCCACTGTCTCATTGCATGTGGTCCTCAACACAGCCCCCATCCACCTCCAGGGAGGCACCCAGCTTTCTCCTCCAGATGGGGAGACTGGGTATTAGAGAGGGTGGGACCCCCGTCAAGGTCACAAGGCCACTTTGGGGCTGGGATTCCTACCCATGTCCTTTGCATCTTCAACCTCACAGGGTGTTCTATTAAGAGGCTTCTGAGCCTGGTGGTTCGAACGTGGGCTTCGGAGCCAGACAGGCTGATGGGGCCAAGGTGTGGTGGCGTTTGGAGCAGCGCGGCGTTTGGAGCAGCGCGGGGTATGGTGCTCAGTGGAGGCGTCTATCCTTACTGCTTCTGCAGCTGTAGCGGGCTCTGTGTCAGGGGCGGTGGTGAGGGACCCCTGATATCTGCCAAGGCCCCAGTCAGTCCTCTGCCTCTCCCAGGTAAGGGCCTCAGGCAAATGGCTTCTCTCTGGCGTGTTTCCCCTTCCACGAAATGGGGATAATACTAACCTCTGGCATGTAGGATTGGTGGGAGGACGGATGAGGTAGGACCTGGCATGCTGGAAATGCTGAAAGAACAGTAGCTGCTTCTGTATTATCCGCATCATCTACGAACCCCCGGATATGATAGAGGATGGTTGGAAAAGTATAAAACAGGATCCAGCCCCTTTGGGAGATGGGGCTCAGGGAAAGGAGGTCTCAGGGGGATGCCACCCAGGGTGGAGAGCTCCAATCTGACGGTGGGGGGGGCATGAGGGCAGTGGGCCCAGACCCACCATGAGACTCAGGCTTCCTGGGGAAGCAGGAGGTGGGGTGGGGGGAGGGGAAGATCCGGGTTCTGGCTTATCTCAGGAACCACTGAATCTCAGATCTGGGCTAGGACCTAGGACTCACCTGGTCTGATCCCTCTCCCCGCCATGCATCACCACCGCCAGACTTGCCCCTCACATCTTTTCCGTGTCAGCAGTCCTCCCAAATCCTTCCAGCCCCCAACAGTCCCTTCCTGCCCCACCCCCAGCTTGGAATCAGGCCAACTGGACTTACACTGCCCCTCTGCTGCCAGGTCATTGCATGACCTCAGGCAAGGACCTTAACCTCCCTGGGCCTCTTAAGCAAATTTTACCTGTCAGGGCGGAGGATTCAGTGAGATGGAGTCTGAGAGGAACGCGGTCTCTCATGGGGTGTGTGGTCCCACCCCCTCCTTGACAAACAGGGTTCGCTTCACTCAGGGCTAACTATTAACTGCTCGCCACTCCACCTACAAGTCAAATTCATTCCTTGAAAGAGTCAGGCTGAGTTTTCTCAGCAGACGGAGAGGAAATGAGAGAAGGCGGGTGTTGGAGAAATGCTGGGCTGGGCGGAGGGGGACCTGGGTTCTAATTTCACCTGTGCCTCTGACATGTCCTGAACCAGGTCAAGCTTGACCTCCTTTGGGGCTCTCAGTGCCCCTAGAATGTTCTATTATTCCCAGAGAGGGTCGAAGCTGAGAGAGGTTACCTGCCTCACCCCAGGTCACTGGCATCTAAGAGAGAGAAGCAGGACTCGGCTCAAGTCTTGCTGACTCTAAAGCTCTTATGTGGGTGCCTCCCATCACTCAGGGCTAGCCGTAGACCCCCAAGTGCACCCCCAGGGAGTTTGACTCCCCGGATCTGGGATTGGGCCCAGGGAGCCACACGGTTAATTGCCCCTGGTGGCTCTGAGGCAGGGGATGCAAGGGGTCCCCTTTGGAAATCATCACCCCCTGCCATATGGGGTCCTGCTGCTGCTCCCCCCAGGCGCCAAGCCCCAACCTCACCTGGGAACCTGGTGTCCGGTGATGCCGCTGGGCTGGGCAGCAGTGGGACGAGGACCTAGGCGCCTGCTGCTCTCAGGCCAAAGCGGAAGTTCCAGTCCCCAGAGACAGAAAGGGCCTTCCCCTGATGGCCCCCTCCCCTGGGCCCAGCAGGACGGCCCCCTCCACTCTTGGTCCACCCAGGCAGTTTCAGGTCCCATTTCTGCAATCTGGAGGGCTTTACTGTAAATGGGGAGGGTGGTTGGCCGGTTTGGTTTCGCCAGCTCAGCAGTTGTTGGGAGCACAGGCTGTGCTGGGAGAATGGCCGCAACCGGCGGCTTGCATGCCAAGGTCCCCCGGCCTTGCGATCCCCTCCGGCAGACATGGGTGTTCCTCCCTGACATGAGAACATGGCTGGCCTGGGGCCTGAGTACTGGATTTGGAGTCAGAAACCGTGACTCATTTTCTGGCTCTGCCCCTCAACAGTGAGCTTGATTCCTGAGGTCTCGAAAGGGGGCCAAAACATTCTCCGCCAAGAGGACCCAAGGGAGCCCCAATTTCCTCTGCTAGATGATGGGACTATAAGGACACCTGTGCTGTAGACGGCACAGGGCACTGGGGGGGCTCATTTGCGGTCATGGAGGAGAAAGCGGAGGGTAAACTCGAAAGAACAGGGTACGTGTTAATTGCTAAGATCATGCATGTCTCAGGCTTCCCTTTTCTGGGTGCATCTTCTCTGCCTTCTTCCCGTTCTATACTTCCGCTCTTGCCCTGTTCTCAGAAAATTATCTAATCATGAATTTTGAATGTGGTCATTATTTATTGATAGCCCTTCCTTCTGCTGACAGCAGGGCTCGAAGCCGGTGACCATGATGGGCATAGGCAGGAGTTTACTGCTTGCTGATCCTGGAATCACACCAGGTCCGGGCTGGACACGGGCTTGGAGGTCACCCAGCTCATTCCCCTCACCTTCTATAGGGGAAAACTGAGGCTCAGAGGGGAGAAAGTTGTCACTGAACAAATGTCTATCACGAGCCTCCCTGTGCTAGGTGCTGGAGATGGTCACAAGCAGATCAGCCGTGTCTCCTGTCCCCAAGGAGAGTTCCTTCTACTGGGGGAGACTGGTTTAAACATTGAATGATGCAGTGGTCTCACGGCCTCTGTGATAAGTGTCAGAGAAAAGAGGGGACTAGGAGCGCCTGGGTGGCTCAGTCCACTGACCGTCGGGCTCTTGGTTTCGTCTCAGTGTGTGATCTCATGGGTCGTGGGGTCGAGCCCGGTACCTGGTTCCTGCTCAGCAGGGTGCTGGTTCCTCTCCTTATTTCTCTGCCTCTGCCTCTCTGTGCACACTCTCCTCTCTAAAATAAATATATAAATAAATCTTAAAAAAAAAAAAAAGGAAAGGAAAATGAAAAAGAAGGGATTGCTGCAGCCCCCACCTCATACACGTGGCAGCTGCGGGACTCAGAGCCCTCCCTGACGCCAGGGTCTCAGCCTGCTCGCTGATGCTGCATCTGAGGCAACGTGATGCCCCTCGCAGCAGTGGGTGCCCTTTGTGGGGACAGGTGCCCCTCTCTGGGATGGGTGTCCCTCTCTGGGACAGGTGCCCCTCGAAGAGAAAGGTGTCCCTTTTTGGGATGGGTCCTCCTCACTGGGATGGGTGCCCCTCGCAGGGACGGGTTCCCCTTGCTGGGATGCGTGCCCCTTGCAGGGATGGGTGCCCCTCGCAGGTATGGGTACCCCTCATGTGGACAGGTGTCCCTCCCAGGGATGGGTGCCCCTCCTAGGGGTGGGTGCTCAGCTAGATCAGGAGCTGCTACAGGTCAGGAGGGCCCCACTTGACATCTGTGTTTGGAGACAGAACATCTTTGAGCTTGTGGATGATAACTGATGGAAATTAATGGTTACCTGCAGTAGGTATTAGGGAAAGAAGAGACTTGTTTGGTAAAACCGAAGGGTCTCTGGGCTTGGCCAGCTATAGACTTGAAGGGACTGAGCCTGGATGAGGAGGGAAGGCATTGGATTCTGAGCTGGGAGAAGGGTAGAGCTCTGTACCACTTAGTCTCTGTGCCTATGAAATTGTAAATTCATAGGTTGCAGGTCTAGGGTTCTTCTGAGGGCCCCCAAGGGCTACCTAGGCCTGGGCTTCTAATTCTTTGGTGGCTGTTGGCAATGAGAAAATGTGAGCTTGAACTTGGAGTTCAAGGAGACAGCTGAAGACTAAGAGCAGGAGGCAGCAGGGAGGGGAGGACAGCCACGGGCTTAGGAGTCATCCTCTCCCAAGTTTGAATCCCAGCTTTGCTTTGGTCTAGCCATGTGGCCTCAGGCACATTTACGGGCCTCAGTTTCCCCATATATGAATGGAAAGCATGGGTTGTGGGGCGCCATTGAGGTAACCCGGCATGTCCAGGGCCCAGCCTTCTGTAGGTCCCACATGCAAACCCAGGGGCAGTGTTATATATACGAAGAGAAGAATGAATTCTTGGAGGCTGGGTGCATGGGAGCCATGCCTGGATCAGGGATGAGGAGCAGGGGGGTCTCTGGGCCTCGGCCCCTGAGTAGGAGTCAGCTGGTGTCTGTACCTACAAAACTCCGCCTCACATCCCTGACACCGAGGGAACGATCCCTACCAAGCGTGGCCGCAGAGACGTACAATTCCTCAAGTTTCCGCGGTCTAAGAGGGATTCCTTGAGGCTTGGGGTGTCTTTGTCTTCTTTTTAAAGTTTTTGTTTATTTATTTTGTTCAAGGGGAAAAGCTGCGGGAGAGGGAGAGAGAGAATCTCAAGCAGACTCAAGCCGTGCCTTGGGGCATCCTCTTCTTGTTCTGGTCCCACCCCCCTCCCCCTTGCCTGCCCCCTTTCGAAGCCCTCGCCGGGTTCCTCTCAGCCCGGCAGACAAGCTGGCATTTTCAAAGGCCCTTCTCTCATGACAAAGCGAGAACAACAAGGAAACAATTATGGAAAATAAAAATGGCACAAAAGTTGTCGTTTCCAAAGCACAGGTTTCTGATCTGACACTGTGGCCTACATAAATGGTGTATTGATTTTTTAAACAAAAGAGAAATGAGAAGAAAGTTGTATCACTTGAGGCGTTGCTGGGCGGACTGCTAAGTGGCTGATGGAGGAGAGCCGCGAGGGGAGTGACCCTGTGACCTGGCCCTGTCCCTGCCAGAGGCACCCCGTGACCCAGCCGGGGTTCCTGGGCTCTTGCTTCTGTTCCCACTGTGTGTGCTTGCGTGTGTGTATGTGTGTGTGTGTGCATGCATGACTTTCTTGTGCCACCGGATTTGGGAACATAGGCTCTGAAAAGTCACCTAGTTTGTGATCCAAGGTTTTGGAGGGCACTGCGGAGACACAGAAGGGAGAATCAGGGAAGGCTTCGTGGAGGAGGTGATTTTTATGTTGAACCCTGACAGCTGAGTGTCTATCCGCCAGGTGGATGGAGGGCTAGTGTGTGAGCGGGGTGGGGGGCATGGCACCCAACAACATGGCAAAGGCAGGAGGGTGTGGAATGGCTCCTTTCACGAACAAAAGAGCCAAAGTTGGTGGTGCTGGTTGTGGGCCACAGCCATTGTTCTGACAACCCCGCTGGGTGGGTCAGTGTCCCTGTGAGCCCCGTGGGGCCTTGTGGAAGCAAGCTGAGATCCCAGCCGGGCCGGGCAGGTTCTCCTTGGGTCTCGGTGGGCTCTGAGGCTGGATGGGCAGTCTGCCCAGGAAAGTTACACTTTTTTATCTTTTTTGAACTTGAACTATCAACCCTTCTCATGGTCACCACAGGGAAAGCACTGTGGCTAGAATCTGGCCTCCTGGTCCTCCAGCAAGGATCATGGCATCTGGGTCCAACCATCAGGAGCCTTGTGGGGACAGCCTACCAGCCTGGAGACAGCAGTGGTGTTCGCTAAGCTCCTGGGGGCTGCCAGACTTTGTTGGTTACTTGGGGTGAATCAGACAAATGGGGGGACAGATTCTCTCTCTCTTACTGGCTCATGCCCATCTCACTCATACACTTACTCTGCTTTTAGTCACTCATTTACCCACTATTTAATCATTCATTCGCCCTAACTAACTCATTAATTCGGCACAAATTCACTGCCCATCTGCTCTTGGTCTACATTGGGCTTACCTGAGCCCAAACCCCTCCTGTGATAGGCGCAGCCACAATTCACCACGGGTCTGGGAATTCGAACACGCCTGTTTACCCGTGAGCATGGACAGCTTTAATGACAGGAGCACCTCTCACCCAAACAAGTGATAGCAGATGGCCCATTGGGGACCTCTGGCGGCCTTCAATCACACTCTCCCAAATGGCCACGGGATGCTGAGTGCCAACCTTTACTGAGCATCAGCTAGATGCTCTGTCTAAATCTAGAGCCCACAGATGGCGGTGGCAGGTGCAAAGCTGAGGATGAAGAGGCCACTTCTTGGAGAACTTGGCAGTGAGAAGCCTGAGACTTGCATATTTATCAACTTATTTATTTATTTATATATCTCCTTGCCTTTCCCAAGACTTGGGGGGGGGGGCAAAAAACGTTGACAGTGTTAGAAGGTGTTGGTTAAGTCTCAAAGCAGTGACTCCTGAAGGAGCTCAGAGGAGGGAGAAAACGTGGGGCAGGGGATCAGGGTGGGCTTCCTGGAAGAGGAGTCCATCAGGTGGAGAGAATGGCCTGAGCACAGTGGTTCTTGCGGGGAAGCTCAGGGAGACGGGGTGGCCCTGGGGCTGGAGCCGGCCTGACTGCCCTAGTCGGGAAAGAGCAGGAAGCCGGAGAAGACGCTGTCGGAGCCTTCGATGCCCACCATGCCGTTGTAGTCATTGACCGCCAGCCACACCTGCTCTCCCACCTGCAGCCGCAGCAGCACGCTGCCCGAGCTGACCTGCTTGCTGTTGGACATGTGGTCACAGAAGGTGGTCACCTTGGTACCATTGCGGTACAGGTGCACGCACAGGTTGGCCGTCTGCGACGTGTGGTACACAAAGTAGTAAAGCCCCGGGACTTTGCAGGTGAACTTGCCAGTGCTCATGTCGTAATCCCCCTGTGGATTGGTGATGACTCTGTTGAACTTGACCAGGCTGTTGGGCCTGGGGTACTCGGCCGTCTGCCGTGTGACTGTGAACACGGACTGGTGCTTCTGCTTGTATCTGCCCTCCTCCCCCGGCTCCCCTGGGGGTCCCATGAGGCCGGGAACCCCTGGAATCCCAGAGGTTCCCATGGGGCCATTTTTCCCAGGAAAGCCAGGTGTGCCGGGTTCTCCCTTCTGACCCGTGGGTCCTCGTGTTCCAGGGATAGCTGGGATTCCTGGGGAGAAAGCAGGTGAAGGAAGCGATGGGACAGGGAACAGGTACCCTGGGGGTGTCCTCTAGGGGACAAAACCCTGGAGTTTAGCCTCTGGAACCTCCTTCCCTGGATGGACTGTCAGCTGGGGGCTGTGTGCAGGGAGTTAGAAGAGAGGGAGGCCTTGGCTGGAGTCCCGCCTCCTCATGGACTTGCCCTCTGACCACGGCTAAGGTGCTCCCCAGTATGTCGGCCTCAGTTTCCACATTTAAGATGGAGAGAGTAGACCCGGCCAGCATCTGGAGGTGTTGGGACTCATTCTAACACGATTTGTAGCCTGTGTAGACCCTTTCCCTGCAATCAGATGTACCGAAAATTTTGTGTTACTTTTCAAAAGAGAGCCCTCATCATTTTATAAGCTTCAGAACCCCACAAAAGTTGTATCCATGCCTGAGATAGAACCCCCCCCCCGGACCAGCTTAGCACATGGGAACCACTGGATGGATTCCCATCTAAGACAGCAACTAAGGGGTTGCTGTTTCCCGCTCCCCTGGCCCCATTCAGCAACCCCCCCACCCCAAGCCCCTTATGACACCTGGGCTGGTTCAACTTCTCTCACGGTACAGATGAGGAAACTGAGGCCAGAGACTCGCTCAAGGCCTAGCAACCAGGAGGAGGTCGAGTCAGGATTGAAAGTCAAATCTGGTTGAGTCCCAGTCAGAGAGAGCGATTCTTGTAACAGCCCTGACTATCTGAGCCCCTGTGAGACTTTTCTCTCCTTGTCCTAAGTGTCCTCATCTTTTCGGGGCTGGCTCTAGTCTCCTCTTCCCGGAAGCCCTCTCTGGCCAAGCCCGCCAGCCCTCATGGCCGCTTCCTCCTCTGACTTCCCGAGGGCTGGCTGTCTGGGCTGACCTATTTGTGGCAGGTCCTCCCTCTATGGCTCTGTGAGCCTTTTAGGTCCTGGGGTTAGAAAAGGGGATCAGGATCCAAAAGACCCAGGTGAAAGCTATGTGACCCTGGGCAGGTGACCTCCCCTCCCCGAGCCTCCATGTGCCTAACTGAGGAAGGAACTTAATGTAACAGATCCCAGAGAGCCACTGGGAGCTTGGAGCGAGAGTGTGGGAGAGCCGGGTACCATACAGGAAGTGCTCAGGAAGGTCAGCTCCTGGTGAGGCCTGGAGGCACGCAGGGCCCTGTCTTATTCTTCAGGACAGCTTCCAGCAACTGTTTGGGAGGGGGCGCACGTGCTGGGGGAGGGGCCTGACAGGCAGTGGGGGGTGGTGGCCAAAGGCATGGCCTTTGGCATAGGACAGGATTCCGCTGTGTGACTTTGGGTAAGTTGCTTAATCTCTCTGAACCTCAGCTTTAACATTTATAAAATGGCCGTAAGGCACTTTAAAAAAGGATTTTGGCTGCAGTTTTCTCACTTGTAAAACGGAGTTAAAATTTGACCTACTCCATAAGATAAGCATATGCTGAGCATTTGGAACCATGCCTGGCATATAGTAGGAGCTCAATAATTGGGGACCGTCAGCCACCCAGGCCACAGGATGGCCAGAGACAGCCTTGTATGCATAAGTTCTTAAAAAATGGCAGACCTGGGGACCTCATTTGTTTCACCCTGAATCAGAGGGTGATTGTTGGCAAAATTCCATTCTAGTGCCAGGAGGGAAGATGGCAGTGGGGAAAATCCCAAGGACATTCCTTGTCCCTGGCCTGCCCACCCCCGCTTCTGCCGCACCCCATCACCTCCGTCCAACCTCACCCCGGACTCACCCATTCTGGCTGTAGACTCACCTGCATCCCAGATATGCACCTGACCCAGAAGGCGTCCCCAGACTCCAGCACCTGCCCAGCACCCACACCCCCTCATGTCCTCAGCCCTTTTTGCTCACGCTAGGACTTGCCCATCATTCTGCAACCCCGACTTCTCACTCCCCATGCCCTCAACTCCTCAGGATCCCAGGGAGGGAGGTGAGCACAGACCTCCCATAAAAGCAATGATGACAGCTGTAACATGCATAGCTTACGCGTCCCCGAGACCTTACCAGATGCACGGTGCTTTTTTACATTCCAGCTTGTTTAATCATCCCAGCACCCCCGTGCAGCCTGTACTACTGTCTTCCCATTCAACAGATGAGGACACTGAGGCTCTTTGCACAAGGAAGTGGTAGGGCCATCTGTGCATTGTGGACACTCACCATGTCCACTCCACAGGGTCCCCCCAGCACCCCCCACCCCGCCCTGAGGTCCATGCTGCAGAGCAGGTGGTGGAGGGGTTATAATCAAAGAGCACAACACTTTAGAATTTGCCAAAGGTCTCCAGGATCATCTCCTGTGATCCTCCCCCCACTTCCTGGGACGGGTGCTCTCATTCTCTCCTTGGTGTCAGATGAGACACTGAGGCACAAAATTGAGGAACAGGGGGACCGAGTCCTGGGGTCTGAGGAGAGATGGGTGACATCTGCCAGGAAAGCTGGACTCTGCTCTGAGAGCTGGTGCAGCAGGAAGGATTGCATGTCTTGCTAGCAAGTTGCTGTCCTCCTCCCCCCAGCTTTAGCCCCTGATGGACACTTGCCCGCTGCCCCCAGGCCTCCAGTGATGCCTCCCCAGCAGGCCGGCAGACTTACCTGGCTCGCCCTTGGGCCCCGGCAGTCCATCGTACCCGTCCTTCCCGGGGGCCCCTGGTAGGCCCGGCATCCCGGGGATCCCGTAGCAGCCTGTGCTGGCCTGGCCCCCAAGTGGCAGCACCAGCAGGAGCAGCAATAGGTTTAGTCCGAGGTGGGGCCGGGAACTGGACCCCATGTCCAGTTCTGGGGAAGGATCTGGGTAGGGAGAGAGCTGAGTTGGCCCACCCAACCCCTCACCCACCCTCCTCACTCTGTTGTTCCCCAGGCCAGTTCTTCTCAGCCCTCCGGAGCCTACCTCCCTTCCCCAGGCCCCTTCCCTTGTCCCTTGAGGGCTGGGACCACAGGATGGATGGAGGATGGGACATCTCTGCACCCAGGCCCTCAGCTCAGCAGCGATGGGGACCCTCCTTCCTTTCACCAATCAAGTTGTCCCCACGTTTCAGGGAGGTGGCAGGGGGAACTGCCATTTGCCCTCGTCTGGGCGGGGGTCCTGGCCTCACCTGGGTTGGCAGGATTCTGGTCTGGTCACAGAGATGTCCTCAGATCTGCTTCCGTTCTCCCGGGCAGGAGGATACCGTGTCAGAGTAGTCACATCGAGGAGGGCCCAGAGCAGGCTGGGCGGCCACCTCCCCTCTGCTCACCCTTCTTCCAATCCCACATCCCCTTTCCCATAATTTTTCCTGACTCAGTACTTTCTTTTGGGCACTGAGTCTGGCTGACCGCAGCAATGCTCCTGTGTTCCCCACCCCAGGGTCATGCGTGTCTGAAATGAGGAAATGTCTATTCCCCGGGGTCTGCTGGAGGGAGTGTGTGTGTGTGTGTGTGCGTGTGTGTGCGAAAATCCTTACCAAAAATCACGTGTAAATGGTTTCTTGGGGTCCAAAGCCTTGCTCTGACCTCTCTGCTTCGCTGCCCCAAGAAACAAACCTTGCATGCACTTGTGAAGTGGCAGGCCTTATTCTAGAATCTTCCGTTTGCCCCTCTCATTTGTTACACTTGGGGGTGGACACCAGGATGGGCAAGCCTCGATGGCAGGCAGCCTGCCGTGGTGGACAGAGTCAGTGGTCCCGGATGTCCTCCAGCCCTGCCACTGCCTTGCTCTGAGGCCCTCCGCAAACCACTCTAGGCTTCAGTCTTCCTGTCTGTATACTGGGGGGGCAGGAGGGCAGGTCTAGGTTTTGCGTGTGTGCACGTCTTCCTTTGCTGGGGTCCTTGATGATCCCTGCCTCCCTCTCCTCCATCTCCGGCACCCCTGCATCTGGTCTTGGAGCCTGTGGTGGCTGCTGCAGGGTTGCTGGTTGGGGCCAGGCTCGCAGAGCTGGGAGAGGGCCCTCTCCTTTCTTCCTGTTCTCCTCCTATGACATTCTGAGGAGGAGGGGCTGCTGAGCAGTTGAGGGGTCCCACCCTGACACCCCACCTGCCCCCAGTGTCACTCGGGGTGAGGCCTTTGACCTCCCTGAGCATCCATTATAGAGCATCCTCTATAAATGGGGAGTTCCAATAGCTCCCATGCAGGGCAGTGGTGAGGACCCAGCGCGTGAGGCAAGCGCAGTGCTTAGCCTGGTGCCAGGCGTGAGCGGGAGTTCACAGCTCTACCCCTGCCCCACCAAGTGACCTTAAGGGCCTCGGTCTCCTTTTCTGTCCCTACACCCTTTCTCCCAGGGCTGCAGAATGTGAGCTGAGGGCAAGGATGTGAATGAACTTGGCCCCGGAAGTCCCCAGCAGGTAGAGGACTGGGAAGAGCAGAAAGGGTAGACATGACTGCTGGGGAGACCCCATCTTCCAGTCTCATCTTGTTTGCGCGGGTCCGTGTTGTCCAGCAGGTGGCAGCCTTGGCCCATGCTCAGCCTGCCCTGCCCCAGCGTCCCGGCCCTGCGGGCTCTGCCTGAGCCTGTAGCCCTCCTCCAGGTGATCTGCCTCAGGCAGGGTGGGTGCGGGGGTGCGTCTAGGTGGGATTTAGGATAAGGAGCCGCCTGACCCTCCCTGCACTAGCCTGGTCTTTCCCACCACTTGCAGGGTCTGCCCTCCGGACATCTTTGAGTCCCATTGCAATGAAAGGAGCGCTCCACTCTGGGGTCAGCAGAGCCGGTTCACATCTCGGTCTTGCCACTCTCTGGCAGTGTGACGGTGGGTAGGCATCTCCTGTCCCTGAGCCTCCGTGAGGAGGGATTGCTGAGATCCGGTGTGTCCGTGGCTAGGAAATACCCAGCCCATCGTAGGTGCTCGAAGATCTGCTTCATTTCCTGGAAGTGTATGTTCTGGGCCGGGAGGCAGGGAGCTGCGGCGGAGCAGAGGCCCGAAGCAGGCAGAGGGGCAGGAGGAGACCAGCGCAGCCCTGGGGCTCTAGCGGGGTCACCCTCTCCTTCCTGACCCCCAGAAGTTGCGGGTGGGGCAGCCCCGGCCCAGGAGAGGGTCTCTGGAGTCTGTCAGAGGCCTAGGGGGAGGTATGGGTTTGTGGGGACTCCAGCTGCCCCTTGTGTCCGACAGTAGGTGGGAGACACTGATCCTGGGCTCAGGGGCCTGCCGGTGGGAGTGTGAGCGCGTGTGAGGGTCAACGAGTGAGAGAATCGGGGCGGTGCTAAGGCACATGCATATTGGAGGATGAGGAGGGCCTGGCAGGGGTGTGTCTGGGACACATGTGTCGAGGTTGTGTGTGTATGTGTATGTGTGTGTGAAAGAAAGAAAGAGTGTGTGTGCGTGTGTGTGTGTGTGTGTGTAAGAGTGTACTTCTGACAGTTTAGGAGGGGTACTTAGGTGTCTGAGGCACGGGGTGCCTGGGTAGGACAGCACGGATACCCCAAGTATGTCTGCGGGTGTGAAGGTTTCAACGAGTGTGCACGTGTGGTGTGCAGGTGTGTGGTGTGTGCGCAGCACAGGGCACAAATGGCTTTCTCTGTGGAAACACCCAGGGCATTAGACATCCTTAGGACCAAACTTCCGGCTACTTACTGTCTTCGAATTCAGAGGACGAGGTGGGGCTTCTTGCCTCCAAGCAGCTCTGCACAGGCTAAGTGCGACCCCGGGAATATGCACCATGGGCACGCCAGACCGTCTCAGTCCCAGCCATCAGGGATGCCCAGCCCGGGAGGGAGGAAGCCCCAGCCTCCATGCTTGCCCCGGAAGTCCAGGGCAGGACTTGGGAATCTAGCTTCGGGGAGGACTGCTGCCTGCCCTTGGGCTAGTCGCTCTCCTTCTCTGAGTCTTGCCCATGTTTTGCTGGTTCCGGGTTAGAAATCAAGTGTCACCTGTCAGGCATGTGGCTGTGGAGGCTGGCAAGGGTCGCCGTCACACAAACGCAGGCTTGGATACCGGTAAGTTCTGGGCTCAAATCCCAGCTCCTTCTCTTCAACACTGACCGTGGGCTTTATGTCCACCCATGCCCCTAGCCTGCCTCATTATCTGGAAAGTAGGGTCATGATACCCGCCTCACTCCCCAGCCCTACAGATGAAACAAAATACAATAATGGCTCAAACTTCCGAAGTCCTTAATACGAAGCAGTCCCTGTTCTGCAATTTCCGTGTATTAAGTCATTCAGTCTTCCCAACAAGCCTTTGAAGTAAGTGCCCTTGTTATTCCCATTTTACAGATAAAGAAACTGAGGTCACTCAAGTTATATCATATACACACGGTTGGCCAACTGGTAAGTGGTGGCCTAGGATTTGAACCCAGGCCGATGAGGCTCCCATGTATTTACAACAATACATGTTGTAAAATATGAAACACAGGCCTGCCTTGTAAGCACTCAATGATTGTCATTCCTGTGCTCCCTCCCGGTGCCCAGAACAGCATCAGAACCTCAGGCTCAGCACACAGGAACTCAGGTGTTTATTCTAGGAAGAATTCGAGGAAATCCATCTTACAGTGGGCAGTGGGCAGTGAGTTCTCGGGGGCTCCGGGAGCCAGCCCTCACCCTTCAGGCAGCTAAAGCAACAGCACCCCGATAGAGAGCAGACCATAGAAACCAGAGAGGTAGAAGGCGTGGGCTGGAGTCACACAGTAGGAAGCATGTGCGGCCAGGGGCGGGAGGGTCCTTCCGGGGCTCAGATGGACGGGAAGATGAGGAAGCCGCTAAAGACACTATCCACCTCTGGGCCCTGGTAAATGCGGCCCTTGACAGGGTCTTTCTCAATCCAGACCTGGTCCCCTTGCTGCAGCTGGAGAACCATGCCCCCAGACACCACCTGGAAGATCCCCTTGCTGTTGGTGTCACAGAAGCCCAAGGAGCGCCGGAACTGGTCCCTCCCAGACGACACGATGGACAGGCAGATGTCCCACTTGGACACCACCTGGAAAGTGAAATAGTAGTAACCCGGCACAGCACAGAGGAACCGGCCTGTGTGGTTCTGGTATGGGCCTTCCTGGTTGGTGATGACCGTGTCAAAGATGACCACGTTGCCACCCATGGGGGGGTTCCGTCTTATGGCTGAGAATGCCGGCCGTGGCTGGTCTTTGATGTTTCCTGGGTTGCCCTTGATGCCTTTCCGTCCTGGGGAGCCAGGGAGCCCCAGGGGGCCACTGGGTCCAGGAAAGCCCATGTTGCCAGGCTTTCCAGGGGGCCCAGGGTCCCCCGGTTCTCCTTTAAGGCCTCGGATGCCTGTCCGCATGCCAGGAGCCCCTGTGGGGAGAAAGGCCAGATCTGGAGGGGGAGTCCAGTGTCCACAAGTCCTCAGGGAGATGGCTGGGTGGGATGGAGGATGCGGGAGTGCCTGGGCCTTCAAAACCTTGATTCTGTCTGATTGTGTGACCTTGGGCAAGTGTTTCAACCACTGACCTTCAGCTTCCTTATCTCTAAAGTGGAGAAAAGTGAGAACAGGTATTTGGAAGCTGTCATGTTCTTGCAAAAGCAGGACAGGCTCCTCTATACCCCGCCGGGCCACTGCCCCTGGCTTCTTTGGGTTCGGGACTACATTTAGGAGGCCTGGATGCCAAGTATCGCAAATGTTTATGCAGATCCTTCTGGTCTGCTATGGACTGGGAGGCTCAAGGGGACTGAGATTATTTTTTTCTACTCTGAGCATGTCCTCCTCCTTTTTCCTTTACAGCCACCCCCCTTCCCCACCTTTTTTTTTTTTTTTTTTTTTTTTTTTAAGAATGTGAGTTTCTGAAGCTGGAAGGGGCCGGGAATGGGGAAGCAGGAACAGAATTGGGTGTGGGGGCTGGAAGAATGCAGAAAGGATAGTTGCCATGAACTGATCATCTCTACGTGCCAGGTAGGGTTATTTTTTCCATTTTACAGATGAGGAAACCGAGGTTCAGAGAGAGTCAGTAACTTGCTCGAGGTCACACAGCAAGATGAGTCTCCTGAGTCCAAAGATGAGCGCCTTATTCGTTCCGGTAACTGAACGACAACCCAGGACTGGGCGCTGCTCCAAGACCTTTCACATTTGTTGCTTGTGGTGGTCCGTGAGAGAGAGGACTCAGGCAGGAAGGGGGATTCAGAGAGAGGCCTGGCAGCTTGGGGACATGTCCAGAGAGGAGGATAGGTTCCCCTCAGCCCCTGGGACCAAGTGCAGATTGAAGGGGCTTAATGTGGGGGCCCAGGTGGATTCCTGCTTCTTGGGGCCGTCCCCAAGCATGCACCCCGGAGTCCAGGCCCAGCCAAGGGACGAAGTGCTGGGGTCTAGAGGGAAGGGCTTACCTGGCTCCCCTCGCTCCCCCTTGAGGCCTGGCCGTCCGTCTCGGCCGGGTGGTCCTGCAGCCCCCGCCCTCCCGTCTGGTGCTCGGCACACATCCTGGGTCACTGTAGAGGCCAAGGATATGGCCAGCACACAGCCCACCAGCCAGCCCCACGGGGCCTCCATGATGCCACTGCGAAGACATAGGGCAGGGCTAGACCTCACACACTCACACACACCCAACTCGTACATACACTTGAATCCCACACCTACAATGATATCTACACATACCCCTGCCACCGGTGCACATACACACCTCCAGGGCCTTCGATGTCCACCTTGTACCCAGCCCCAGTGACCCCGCACGTACATGAAGAACCAGAAGTTCACACAGATGCCACACACAACTGAAGTTACACACTCAGACACACAAACTTGGCTTCCAATCCCACACGGACAAACACAGGGAGCAGACTCAATCCACTCCACACTCCCGGATGCACGAATGACACCCAAATGGACTCCATCTCGCACTCAGCCACACACTCATATAGTCCTACAGATGATCAATTCCATTGAACAAATATTTATCGAGCGCCTACTTCTTATTTAACACTCTCTCACCCAGATGGCAGAGCTGTGCGTACACATAGGAATTCACAGCCCCCTGACACAGTGCGTGTGCTCATCGCCCCCCCCAAATACTTGACCCCTTTCAGCACCTACTGGACTGTGTACGGGATCCCTGCGCTGGCTCTGACACTCCCAGTCTTTCCCCAGCTTCTCGTGTCTTGGGGAGGCCAAAACCCAGGAACTCTGGTTAGAGGGATGGGTTTATATCACCACTTCCCACTAACTCCCAAACCCGAGGAATGAAGATGGTCCCCCCCACTCACTTATTCTGGGTCCTGAATCCGGACCCCCCCCCCCACAGGCCAACTCTGTCCTGGCACAGAACCAAGGACAGTGTTCCGCCTCCCCTGCCTTTGAGGTCCAGCCCCCTAGGCCAGCTCCCCTGGCTCCCTGAATTTCACAGCCCCCTCCCCCTCGGGCGCTGGCCTCACCTGCCTTAGCTGGTCGTCAGTTCAACTGGATGTTCCTGTCCTCCACCCAGGGACCGCTGTGGGACACCCAGCAGGGGTACTGCCTGCCTGGCTGTGGCCAAGTTTCACATCCCTTCCTACTTCCCCTTCTCCTTCCCTGGGCCTGCCCCCAGCCTTGCCCCAGGGGCCAGAGGCCTCCCGGAGACAGTTTGAGCAGACCTCAGCAAGATTGGGACACTGGACATTCCCCCCCATCCCCCACACACGCACGCAAGCTGGTGTGGGGGCAGGGACGGGAAGGCAGGAGTCTGCAAAGACAGAGGCCGTGGAGGGGGTCCTGGGTGGGGTGTGAAAACCAGGGATGCACAGAACATCAGGGCAGACGGAGTTTTTCTAAAAGTCAGTAACTTGAAAGACTTTTTCAAATTTATGAAAGCAACATGTATTCATTGTCTAACGCTTGGGAAATACAGAAAAACACAAAGGAGAGTGCAGTAGTGATGAGAAACTTAGTAGTCAGCTTTCTAGACCTGCCACTTCCTAGCTGCCCTTGGGAAGTTACTTAACGTCCCGGGGCCTCGGTTTTCTTATTCATAAATTGGGAACAACAGATTTTACCTCATCGGAGTATTATAAAGTTTCAATGACATAATATATATACAAAACACTTGGCATGGGATGAACACTTAATAAGTAGCTTTTATTGGATTTAAAAAACAGCAACAAAAGCCCATGAATGCTATCATCTAAAGAGTTACCCTTTGGCAGGATCATCTAGTCTTGCTTACTCTTGCTGACAGGGTGCTCACTACCGGTCAGCCCACATCACTTCACCAGCTTGGACCCCGAGCATCCTTTAGATAGAGCTACCCTTTCTCTCCAGTCTGGAGAGCAATGTGTTCAGGCTCAGGCTGACCAGGTCTTTCTGCTTCTTCCCATGACCATGTTCACCACCCCCCACTCTGATTTCACCAAAAGGAAGATGAGGAGGGGATAACAAGTCTATTGACCTGGGCAGATGAAGATCGTCCAGGGCCAGGGTTTTCAAGCTTCTGGGACCCCTTTTTCATTTGCAATCTTGTATGGTACCCAATATGTATCTGACAGATATAAGTGGGGGTTCTCAGGATAAGAGTGGGGGCCCACAGTAACTCCCACCAGCCCCTCTCTTGCTCCTGGGGATTCAGGAGGTTAGGAGAGCTGGAATCTCACGGGCTGTGCCCACTTGTAACTCACTGTGTAACCTGAGGCAAGCGATATCATTTCTCTGGACCTCAGTTTCTTTATCTGTAAAATGGGGATGATATAGACTTCTCACTGGGCTGCTACGGATTCTATGAGGAAGTTGATGCTGTCATATATCACATTCAAATAAATCATCATTATGAATAATATCTCTGTGACCGTGGGCAGGTTACCTAACCAGTCTGAGCCTCACCTCCATCTCTCAAGGTGAGGGAGTGGCGGGAGGCAGGAAGGTTGCAAGAAGGTTGCACCCTGGAACACGGCTCCGGGCACCCATTTTCTTTGATGGCAGCATGTCAGTCTTGCTTCCCTGCAAGAGGAGTTAGAAATATCATGTGTCGGAGTCAGAAATGCCAGGCTGATGGCTCCCATTTCACAGATGAAGAAACTAACCACCAGAGACAGCAACGCTTGCCCAAGGTCACGAAGAAAGTGGCAGAGTTGGCATGGGGAAAAACCAAATACTGTGAAAGTCTTCTCAAAGTATAGCTTCCAAAATTTTGAATAGACCATTCTTATAGAAATATATAGTGAGCACATGTGAGTTTTTAAATTTTTTTTTGTAGCTTGTTAATGAAGGAACCAGCAGGATGAGAAAGCTAGTTCAATGAAGGGTATGAGAAGGAAACATTTAACATGTACCTATATATGGAGAGAGAAGAGAGAGATTTAGCAGAAAGAAAAACAACAATAACCCAAAAATTAGAATTCTGGAATATTCATAAGGTTGCTAAGTTAGAGGCAACACTGGTGAATGTTTATAGGACAACAAAATCATAATGTCGGGGATTATCTTCTCTATTAGAAAGAAATCATTTGCATGATTTCTCTACCAGACAAAAATAATTTGTAACTTGCCAGTTTTCTACCAGCTAACAGGAGTCTTTACAGATCCTGGGCCTTGATCAATAGCAAATAATAAGTCAAGCAGAGTGACATTCCCCTAGAGTGTCAGATGACCCTTAGGAGGGCTTGTTAGACAATGTTTTGATTTGACTTTGAAAGGACATCGGTTATCTATTTGCCTTATTTCCAACTGTTGGATGATTTTACTTATCAGGCTGTTGCAAGTGTATAACCCTTCCCAAGAAATAAAAGCCATCGATAGGAATGAACATAGCATTAGTGTGAAAGTAAATGGGTCAGCAACAGCCCTGTGAATGTCACAACAGAGACACCTTCAATCAGAAGGGATGGACATAGTCTTCCTTTTTTTCCAGAGCTCAGACTCCTGAAGGGGAGAGGTAGGGGGGTGGCGGGGGGTGGTTGGGGAGGTTGGGGGATGAGAGGAACCGCTCTGTAATGCCTGTAGAGTCATGATCCGTGAGACCCAGGTGTAGTAAGGAGTTTAAGCAATAACCAAAAAACAATTTTTAAATCACTCACATTCTTTTTTTTTTTTTTTTAAGATTTTAAAAATCTATTTGACAGACAGAGATCACAAGTAGGCAGAGAGAGGAGGAAGCAGGTTCCCTGCAGAGAAGAGAGCCCTATGCAGGGCTCGATTCCAGGACCCTGGGATCATGACCTGAGCTGAAGGCAGATGCTTAACAACTGAGCCACCCAGGTGCCCCTCTCTGAGTGTATTATTATCTCCATATTATTTTAAAGTTTTGACCCCATTCTAACTTTGGAGTTCTAGTCTTTCTTCTTTTCTTTTCTTTCTTTCTTCTTCTTCTTTTTTTTTTTTTAGACTTATTTATTTATTTGGCGGGGTGGAGGGAGGAGAAAGAAGAGGGAGAGAAACCTCTGAGCCTGACATGGGGCTTGATCTCAGAACCCTGAGATCATAACCTGAGCCAAAATCAAGAGTCATCTGCTTAACCAGCTGTGCCACCCAGGTGCCCCTGGAGTCTAGTCTTTAATTATTTTTTTTAAGATTTTATTTATTTATTTGACAGACAGAGATAACAAGTAGGCAGAGAGGCAGGCAGTGGGGGGTGGGGGGTGGGAAGCAGGCTTCCTGCTGAGCAGAGAGCCTGATTAGGAAGCTCCATCCCAGGACCCTGGGATCAGGACCTGAGACAAAGGCAGAGGCTTTAACCCGCTGAGCCCCAGATCACTCACATTCTTGATGGTGGAGTCACATCTCACCCAAGGGTTGGGGTTCCAAAAATCAGCATACTAAGCAAAAATTGTAAATGGTCACTATTACCATGGGGGGTTGGTGGGAAATCTTAGGAAAGCGCCAGGTTGGAAACCCTATTATCACTTCACTATAGACCTGCACAGTCAGCTTCAGCTTTGACATTAGAACAGAGTTCTCTTTCTTCAGTTGGGTAGCAACTGGCTCACGGATATCCCTCTCACCCCCAAAAGAGGCATGGAATCTTGGAAGACCGGGATCATGCAGCATTAATGTGTTTAGCCTACCAGGGGCTCATGGGATCAGAGGCAGACTTGGGGAAGTCCGGTCTGTTCAGCTCTCCCTGTCCACGCTAACTCCAGAAATAGGCTCCTTGAGGGTCTGTAGTGATGGCAGCATCCCCCACCTTACTGAAACTGGTATTTGTAACTCTTTGTCTCTCTGAATCTTATTAGGCAAAATGCAGATTGTCAACTGTTATAGAACAGGGCTCCAAAGTTCCTGTGTTTTTTTTTTAATCAAAAAAATTGAAGTATAATTTACATACTGTAAAATGCAGAAATCTTTTTCTTTTATTAGAAAGACAGAGAGAGAAAGAGAGGCAGAGGGAGGGGGAGAGATAGAATCTTAAGCAGCCTCTGGGCCCAGGGGAACTCGATCTTACCCCTGTCGTGAGTGTGTCTGTCCGTTTCTTATAGCTGAGTAGTATACGTGCATATATCACACCTTATCAGGTCCTTCCCCATTGGTGGGTATTTTTGTTCATGATGAATAGAGCTGCTGAGAGAGCCTTCTCCTACAATCCCCTATGCACTCAGGTCTCTGCTGTGCTGTTCGTACACTGTGAAGGAGGCACCGAGCTTACCCCCGTACCCCGTCCTCCCCATCCACTGCCACACACCTCTCTCTTCAATACCCCTTCCCTCAAAAAACCCCACAAATCTCCCAGGCCCTTCCTCAACCTCTTTTTCTCCTTCTCGGGGCCCCCATTTTACTCCCCTTGCTCTTTGTTATGGAGATCTTCTTAATGACTGGTCTCCCCTCTTTGGGGCTGAGAATCCTTCCCCTCCTCCTGGGCCTTCAGGGTCTCTCCTTGTATCCTCCTTCTCCAACACCCAATGAGAT